AAAAAAAAAAAAAAAACCAAGGAGTCACACTGCCACCTGCTTCAGCTACTACCCCATAGGGTAAGTGCTAACAACAGTTCAAATGGACCTTGACCAACCCTCAGCAGAGAACCAATCTCCAGTGGACTTGCTGCAGCCACCATTGTGCTGGATGCCACTATTAGTAAGGGAGTGACTGGGCCTGACTGGAGGAGGAGGAGGAGGAGGAGGAAGAGGAAGATTGTTCTCGTAATTGCTGTGACACCCAGCGCAAAGGACCAAGATCTCCATGCGCTTGGAGATGGCAATTCAACAGATACATACAGTTCTGTGGTGAGCTCACATGCATGGGAATTTGCAAAGAAATCACTCAGAAGCACCAATGGTGGTTATATCCTGCGTGAACAACATGGTGGACTGAGTTTCATGGGGTGGGGCTGGAGGCAAGGGAATGAAGAAACACATGACTTCAATCAGACATTGGGATGTAAGCATGAAAGGCTGGGGTTTATGTCATGATGTTGCAACACATATTGTGTCATTTTTGTTTGCTTGCTTGCTTGCTATTGCTGTTTGTGCCAGAAGCCAATGGAAGTTGTGAAAGATAGTCTTCTTAAACTCTGTCAGTTATGCATGACAAAGCCTAACTTTGTATTAACAGAAAGTCTAATGTTAATACTATCCAATTATAAGCCATAAAAAAATAACACATCCAGTGTAAAGGAAGTGCATAGTAAGACATGCATCTGTCTTTTACTCTTGAAGGTATCAAAATTTTCCAAAAGCAGATAACAGAGCTGTAAATGAGTCCTGTAAATGAATAAAGTTGGACTTTTTTTTCCAGGATATGTTTAATTTCCTTGTTTTTGAAATCATGACACTGGATCCATTGGAAAGCAATTAGAGAAATCATTCTTCACTTTATATTCGTTAACCTTTACTCTTTGAAAACCTCTGAACAATGTAACTTCAAAGCTGCTGCTGCTAGTTAATGTAAAGCAAGGAAAGAAAAGGGCACTTCTGGCTATATTCTCCTCCCCCTTTAAAACACTTTTTATTGTTGCAAGAATAACACTTCAAATTCTTTGACCTCATTTCAATTTTATAATGGGGCATTACATCACATGCCATATTGCTATTATGCTGCCTCCATTTCAAAGCATCCTGTTTCTTTCTTATGTAGATGCAAAGGAATAGAGAAAGCAAACTTTTTCAAAATAGTTTTAAAAATCACAGTTCTAAATGTGTAAAACATGAGTGATTTCAAAGAAATCTTAACAGACATTTAAAGTTAAGAGTATGGTGCCACATGGTTAAACAAAAGAAGACTTGCTTTTGTTGGCTAATAGGCTTTTCTGTGTGTCTAACATAGAGGCATGCATTTCATACACTAAAATAAAATCCTGCCCTTTCAGAAACTTTGAAGAATGTCCCTCCTCCTTTATCATGACATCAAATTAAGTTTGCAATCAGCTACATGCTTATTTAGAAATTAAGAATTTACTTATGTGTGTCTGTCACTGTGATGCCTATATACATACAAAACAAAAACCCCACTCAATGAAGGCAGTAAAATAGAATTTGTGACCTAATTGCTTATTTAACAAGATGAAAATGTGACCAATCCATGGCTTGAAAATGAACTTGAAGACAGAAATCATGATTATAATTATTCACAGCCTTTGCCAATAAAAAAATAGAAAATTATGAACTTGAGAAGATTGACAGTTACATTTATGTCAGTAAAAAGATGATCATGGACAATGATATCATAGAAGAAAGTAGCTTGGAGAGCATTTCATGTATTCAAAAGGAACATAGCAACCTACTTCAGGAATTTAATAGTTTAATCAGTGTATACTTACTACCTGTACTGCCATATAGTTTCAAAACTTGGATATTAAATGCAAAAGTGGTACAGAAGTTGACAAATATATAAATGCTTAACATTTGACAAGATGTGACAAGAAAAATATGGATCCATCAACAGACAAGGATATATAGCATAATGAAGTGAGTAGCCTCACAGAAATGATAATGGGCTGGCTGACAAACAGATCAGTGTTGGACAACAACAATCCTTGATTGGATACTTGACCTTAAAAGACCCAGAAAACACCCAAATAAATGCTGGACAGATAACTTGACTCAATTCAAAGGTGTTAACTGGAAACACCTTGCAACTTGCAGTCAGCTGGAGAGGCCTTAATCCTATAGTGGACTGATTTGGGCTGATAATGATCATAATACTAATTTACTTAGAAATAAGTCTTATCAGCTGAATTGGACTTCGGTATGTATGACTGAATGTACCGTTAAGATGAAAATCAAAATGGACATGAACAGAGTGAGAAATTACATTAAAAAGAAATGCCCAAATGCTGGGGAAACTTCTGCCCTTTAGTTCTTTCTTTTAAAAAAAGAGACAACTCTCTGGTCTACTAACCTGAGTCTAGTGCAGTGTTTTTAAAACTTAGCAACTTTAAAATGTGTAGACTTCAACTCTC